ATTCAAGTCTATACCGCTGTTAGTTAAGGCTGAGGCTCACCCTTTCAGTTTCTCCTCAATCTCGGAACGAGAGGGAGCGAGCAACACTATTTCGTCGGCGCAAGCGCCCCAACTCCACAATCATAACTGCGCTTTTAGCGGCTTTCAAGCCCATACCTGCAGCTGTTAAGGCTGAGGCTCACCCTTTCAGTTTCTCCTCAATCTCGGAACGAGAGGGAGCGAGCAACACTATTTCGTCGGCGTACGCCAGCGCCCCAATTCTTGTGCCCTCTAAGTTATAGCCGAAATGTGGACGGCATTGTTTCACCACCTTATCCATTACCATCATAAACAGCAGGGGAGATAAGGGATCACCCTGCCGCATACCGCGCTTGGACTTTACGTCCTCATCGTTCAGGTTGACAACGCCATCGGAGTATAGGCGTCTTAGATAGCGCACAAGGGACATCGGGGCTCCATGTTCCTGGGCTACTTGCAAGATTGTATCGTGATAAGCTCTATCAAATGCTTTCGATATATCCAAAATGCCTGCCGCTATCGGCCGAACCGTATCGTGCAGCGAGTGCAGTATGGCGTTTAGCAGACTCGAGGCTTCAAGACATCCGTCGCGCTCTTGTAAAGCGAATTGGATACTCTCTAGTTTGACCACCCTCCGCCAACGACGGAAGAGAAGCTTATGCAACAGCCTCAGGACTACCAAAGAAATTGCAATGGGTCGGTAGTCCCCCGGGGACGCTGGGGACACTGTTTTAGGGATCAGTGGGATCCTCGCCCTCGAGAGGGTTCTGGGTGGTAGCTCGGTCACCAAAAATAAATTCAGCAACTGGGCTAGAGTACTCGGTTTCCACGTGAGCAGTTTCCAAGCATCCTTTTTATCCATCCCAGGTGAAGACCCCACCGATTCCTTCAATGCCCCAGTGACCTCGGCACTGGTTATTGGGCTCAGTATGCTCCATTTCTGGACAGTGGTTGGCACCGGTCGCGTGTCGAGATGAGCTTCAGCTCCCAAGACCGCTTTCCAGTACTCCATCGTACCCTTGGGCTTGGCCTCGGCGCACTTCCAGAGTTCCTTCCACTGTCCATCCAGAACACACTTTGCCGCCTCCTTCCGCTTACGTTTGAACAGGCTTTGCAGTCGGGCATAAGTCACTCTCCGTCGTGCCTTCTGGGATTTTGGAACACACTTCCGCACTGCTCCCTTCTGGGGAGTCCAGACATCAGGGAATATACGTTTCACCACACTGGTCAGGCGCGCCCTCGCCTGAACCACATTCAACCTACCAGAGAGCATCATCTCCGCAATATCGCCGAGCGCTCGGGCTTCCGGCTGCCTCTCGGCCTGCCGCGCACTATCAGCGATGCACACCAGCTAGGAATTTCGCCAGTCAGCGCAGTCAGAGTCATCCACAGATCGGCCGTCCACCACTCCCTCATCATCCATAATGCAAGTGTTCACGTCCGAAGGAGGGCACTCTTTCTCATCCCCCGAAGACCAAATAGGCCGCCGGCAGGGGTTCGGTCGTGTCCACTCCTTGTCAGATGACCAAGCACATTCCGGAATCTTCGGAAGCGGTTTAGGTCGCCTCTTCGCACCATTTCCAGTCTTATATTTGGAAATACCGGACCATTGCATTTTAATCAAGCGCTTTTTAACAGCCCCTGCTGACCTACTAGCGAACTTCGCTGCCAATGCAGCATACAACTCGGATTTCACCGGGATCGAGCTGGCCATTCCATCTGCCAACTGTACCAGTTTTAACGAATTGTACTCACTCCATTCACCTTTTCTGCGTGGTAGCAGTTTTGCAGCAGTTTTAGTCTCTTGTCATTCAATTCGACCGGGTGCCTGTGACGCTTATGCTGGCCGAGGCCTCTAGCGGTCTTGTAGGACAACCCACATACTTCGCAAACAAAATTTCCATCGTAGACATTCAATCTCCGCTCTACACTTACCGGTGGATCAGTCCGGCTGGGAAGATCCTCCACTTGGGAACCGGTACTCGTAGATGCACCGGAAGTTTTTTCAGAAATTGAGGGTAACGTAACCAAGTGGAAACCCCGACAAGGGTGGTTGGCCCTGACGGGTGGTCTGAAGTTTGGCTGAGAAGGGATCAACGCTTTTCAGGGCTCACCCTTCTGACTCCGGCGGGAACCACGAGGAGGTAAACAGACCATGCAACCATGGCTCCCGGTTAAGAGAGTCATAGTTACTCCCGCCTATAACTGGAACCATGGTGATCCCGGGAGCACATGTTTGTTTGTGTGTACCTTGTCGCGCGCACATTTGCATCAAATGAGAGCACTACCGCTCATAGTGCTATTCGCTCATTTGCAAGTGGGGATGGTGTTGACTTGAGAACCGAATCCCCCGTTTATGAAACTGCTACACAAAGGCTGCCATAGGTTTCCACTAGAAAAGTGTTCACCATTTTACTCATTTGGTAGTGAGTGCCACACTCCATAAGTGTTTGATTTGGCGTTGAGGCGTGAAATGAAATTGCTAAAAACCTCTGAACTTGACCCTGAATGGGCCAAATCGGTAGCCAGGTGCTTTCATCCTTATGATTAACGTCCTGTCGAGCGAGTAGCCTTATACTTAATTATCATTCCAAATGAAACGTTAGGTGGCTTCTGGTCGGCTCATTAGAGGCTGTTGTAGACGAGAAGTTCGTGTGAATCCCCCTTCAATATTACCCTAATTTGGAATTAGAAATTCGTCCAATGTTGTGGCCGAATAGAAAGAGATTGATTGGTATTGGAGCAATACGTTATCGTTAGTGGCCGTCGAAAATTTTTAATCACCCTCAAAAACTAGTATTCCTTTTCTCTTCCTTATCATCTAGAACCCGTATTGGTCCTTGGCGGGTCTAGTTTACTTTGCAACCACTGCCACCATTCTACCAAATCTCATAAGTTTAGGTGAAAGACAAACACCAGAACATTATGATGCTCCCTTTTATATAAAGGTATCTCGTCCTATCCACAAAAACAGGAGCGGTTGCGCCTTGGTGTAAAGGGCCCCAAGACTGAAGAGCATGGGAATAGAAGCAGCTGAATCTTGTGGTAGAGGGGGATTCCAGCCTGGGAGCGTGAGGCGGTAGCCTTATTTGAACCGGCGAATTCGCGAAGGGATGGCCAGATAACCTGAGTTTAATGATAAAGGAACTCAGCGATACAAGCCGTAACAGGGAAGCGCTAGTTTCACTGTCACTGATGATGATGGATCTACGATAGATGGGTCGTGTGCCACGCATGCCAAGTCATTGTCTACTGAGAGCTCTTCTGTTCCCTGTGCTCAATTTGGATGAGTGAAAATCCGGAGCTGGACGAAGTATAACTCGACAAGGGGGAATTTAGGGTAATGCGGGAGGTCCGATTGTTTTTTATGCTGCCCGCCTTCCAGATTAGGACCTTATGATTGCGTGGGTGAAGACGTCAAACGCATGTCATTTGCGTGCATGCCGCAATTCCTTTCCAGACTGTCTGACCTGTTGTTGGGGGAAATCGTACCCTGGGTGATTTTCCTAGCCTACCACTGGGTTCCTGTCCCTGTCAAGTCCATATTTAATTAAACTGACATAATTATACGTCAAACAAGCACTAACATTTTCTCTGTGACGTTGGTGTTAATGATTACGAGTATTGACTTCCCGCGGCCAGAAAGTCGTAGGAAATATTTGGCCGAGCAAAGCAGCAATCCACCTGGACAAATCTGAGTTTCCCTCCTCTCCCTCTTTCACTTTAGAAGATCCTTTGCATGAATCGACTCTGACGGACAAATCAGAACCGGATCCTGGACTGAATCTGGCGGGACGAAAACCAAGAGAGCGCAGTAGTATTGAGGAGACCGCACTCAATAAAGAGCACCGGGCATCTTTGGAAAGGCAAGTGGTCTATCTGTGGTATTTTGCTTCGTCTTTTGCAATCGGTATTTCGTTGCGCAACTGCGATTCTGTCCAGTGTTTTTATGTGTTATTACACTCTCCCTCCTTGTAGTGTTCGTTCTAGCCGTCGAGATTCAGACTCCAAACTGCGGCGGCTACAAAAGTCCATGTCGGTTCAGTTGGATGACAGAGACGATACCACGGCAGACGATGAGGAAGCGGTGAGATTTTCACCTACGAGTTGTCATCCTGAGTCCATACACGACCGAGTGTCTTCTTTTGACGAGTGGAGTCGTTTCGCTGCATCTCCCGAAGAATTCCACAAGGATGAAGCTGAGCCAACAGACAAAACAGTGTACAGTCCTACGCACGTATCAGAGGGAGAGAAGATGGAGCCATCTTCTGCTCAACCTGTTTCCAAGTCACTGGCTCGCCAGCGTTGGCACGATGCCTTCAATCGTGTTTGTAGTCGTTTAGGGACAGTAAGTGTCGTCCATACTCTGCACTTTTCAACCAACTGAGTTCTTTGTCTTTCAACTGACTGGCTTTTCTTTGTATTGTTTGTGTTACAGGACAGTATGCTGTTTCCATTTGATACGTAAGTTTGTAGCACTCCCTCAGTTCCCTTTTTTGTCCATGATTCTATTGTGTGGAGGTTAAATTCATGCGTGGTCGCTTTGTAGACACTAGCATCACAAGGCTAAATTATTGTAACCTGGGGAGCGATTCTCACGTCCGTTTACGAGGACTGACTTGGTCTGCATCATTGGTCGTCACACCTGTCCTCTGTTCAGAGAGACCACCATATACGGCTTGGAGATAGTGTTTTGACTTAACTATGATCCTCCTAACTGCCTGCTCCCATTGTCGTTCTAACTCCCCTCTTGTACTCTCACTTATCACTAAGTGTGGTCTTAAGCGATGTCAGTTACAGTGAGCCCTTCCTTTATCACTCTATAGTGGTCGCGCGGCGGATCGCCATTCCTCGTTTTATACCAGCATCGACAGCATGCCGGATATTCGACTGAAAAAGAAACCGATAGCTCTCGTCAGTGATTTGGTAAGTCAGTTCACAGTTTTTCGCGACTGCATTTATGACTTTTTCAGCCTAATACATCTCAGTATTTGTCTTGAGTTGGCTCGATAAAGGTTTTCGATAGAAATCTAGTTACTACAGAAAACAGTGTGGATCTTCATAGTTATCCACCCATCCGACGGAACAGGACACTTTCAAACCACCAGCTTTAGGAGCCCGGGACGACTGAGTCATCAAGGCGCGAACTGACTGGCCGAAATGTCCGTGGTTCATACCCAGCCACAGCGACTCGACTGTTCCCGCTTAGGCTCTGGTAACCTGGCCTTATCTCAGCCCTCAGGTTTCCTTCGTGTGACATGGTAGCTAGATACCGGAAGGGTGTTACGGCAGAATGATTATTTTTTATCATTGCTTCGGCTTGGGAGTGGCGAAGATATCTCACTTTCGCAACGTCTACTACGTCGTATTCACTCCTTTCATCTCTTTCGCTAGATCGGATAGTGGACATTCATAAAGGCAAACTATGGAAAATTTCTGGAGGAAAAACAGCTAATTAAGCTTTCCGTCCTGATTGAGTTCTATCACGCGTATGTAGCTCGACAGTGGTCGCCAAAATTTCTCACATAAGCTGAACCGAGAAAATCGCCTAAAGATACACAGAGTTCTTTACAGTCGACCGTAGAAGCTCGCTTCAGCAAGTATCTCAAAACCTGTTATCATCAACTTAATCTTGATAAAACGCATCAAATGTATTGCCGATTCAAGCCACTGATAACGAAGATTAACTACACTCTTCGATAACACTTGATTTATAGTTACCCTTCTATCCAGGCTTTTGGATCTTCGATTAGACTTATTCAGGCGAACTGCACACTCATTGAAGCCTGCACAATATTCAGCACCCATCACATGAATGACTTCGAGTTTGTGAACAGTTTGAATGCCCGTTTTAGCGTGCTCTTGGTTGAAAATGTCCTGCTTTCTGACCTCACTTTTTTCTGCTCACTCTTCGTGTGTTTTCTTAGTAACCAAAGCTATTTCCTGTACACTGGTTGCATGAAGCCAGTTCAGCGGCTCAATCCAAATTTGCTAACTGCAATGCTCTGCTTCTTTTCCTTCTGCTCAGGTTATTCAAGTAAGCTTTTTGTCCATTTTCTGTACGACGTGTATCGTTGTCGTTGTCTTCACAAAACTTGTCTATTTTGGCACATAATGCCATATTTGATGTCGCCCTCCACTTCTTAGACCATGGCTGTCCAGAAACGGAATATGGGCACAGCGAGCGCCAACCTGATCACACGACAGTCAATCAATGACGAGGAGTTGGTGAGTTGCCAATAAGCACTCTTTTTCCTTATGATCGCTACTCTGAAGTCTTTGTGGGCTTTTCCGCTAACCTCGAACACAGCTTGCCAATAGCGCGTATTATCGATCTGACAAGTATTAACCCCAAGGTCTTTTGACATTGTGAGTGGTGTCCAAACTTATTCATGAACGTCCCGATGTACCTTGCTGTGGACTAACGAGTTACGTACCTATACTAATTGATTGTCATCAGAAGATTGTGAAAAACAATTGAACTGTGCCATTCTGACGGATTGAATTGTATGACTGTGTGCTTTTGCCCGAAATTCCATTTAGGCCAACATAGTCACTGGTTCTCTATTGGGAGTCTTTTAACCGCTATGTTTCACTTGTTCTTTTCTCTACCCACCTCGCAGAAACAACACGTCTACAAAAAGACTTTGCAGGCGCTACTGTATCCAATCTCCAGCAACACTCCGCACAAATTTCAAGTCTGGTCAGCGACCAGTCCAACCTACTGTTATGAATGTGAAGGGCTTTTGTGGGGTATTGCCCGTCAGGGTCTTCGCTGTACCGAGTGTGGTGTCAAGTGTCATGACAAATGTCGTGAATTGTTGAATGCAGACTGCCTGCAACGTAAGTTCTCAGGTGTCTGTCGCGTTCTATTCTGATGGTTAGGTTATTTACTGAGCTTGTCACTTTCTGCAGAGGTTTCACTACCGTTTTGCGCGACAATGTCCGTGATTTGTGGTGTGTGTGGAAGTTGGAGTTTATGCTTATATGCAATCAGTCCACCAATCTAGACTGACCTTTGGATGAGTGACGAATCGAATAGCCGGTCCTCTTGCTTGAATGTTCCGATTAGTCGGCATCTTAGTGGACTTTGAACTTCATCTCTCCAATTCATCCACTAGACTTTTGCTTCGTTGGTCCCACAGTGTGGCCTGCCATCTGGTCCGTTTGTTTGGTCGTGGGCTAAGCTCAGCAAACTATCCCAACTTCAACTATATAACCAGAGCCACTAGCATTTTCCGTTACATTTGCATCTTCGCGTTAATTTAGCTGTTCCACAATCTGTTTTTTTTATCACACCACTCTGAGTCAAATACGAGACACGTTTTTTTCACTCCCAAAGAAATCCAGGGCTAATTGGACACCCTTGATGGGTCTGTTTTTCCAAACAGTCGGCCACTGGGGAGATGCGTGGTTAACCGCAGAGCAGAGTAGTATCATGAAATGGACACAGATGCCTTCAGTTTTTTCACTTATAATTCAAGAAATTGGTCGCTTTCGTTTAGTAAATCCCCTAACGACTGATGACTACAACGCAGACATGTGCCCTATCTCGCCATAGATGATGTGGCCTTTGAGTCTATTCCATTGACGGACAAATGCAGGCCAATTATGAACGGTAATGATGAACGTCAGGTACCCCATCAAGGCATTTCTGTGACACATGACTGATCGAATGTCGTTTCTCGATGTTTTGATTGTGAGACCCTAGGACGGCCCAGCATTTGTCGTCGGCATATCGAATGGGTACATTGGCCAAATACTGTTTGGTATTGAGACGTGTTCTCCAATTCGATACAAACAACCCTGGGCCGTATCCAGGTATCGTAATACAAGTCTCCTTTTGTTGTTCAGTGTACTTTGAGACCGAATAATCGAATGCGATGTAAAAGACCTCATAATGAAGGTTCACAAAGAGAGCAGTTCATCCGGCTTTGCCGTGCACATGTGACAGTCTGTTGCGTTAACTAGGAATCACTGGATTCGGGTTTATGACATACTCGATACTACCGATAATAGTAAATATAAATCATTCAGCTGCAGCACCCTTTCGGTGCCTAGCTGCCATTCCACACGAATGAGGCACGAGGGCTGGGATACTGTCAGGTTGCCCAAGCCTAGACAGGGGAAGTCGAGAGGTAGAGGTCGGGTTCGAACCACGGACCTTCCGGTCAAAAGATTCGTGTTCTGACCACTTGGTCCATCTCGCCCCCATGCTACCAAATTAATAAACGATTGTCTACACAAGCACGTTAACTCTATAATGATCTCTCTACAATATCACATTCGGTATCATAACCGTTCTTCGCGATGAGTGAATGGGATGTTTAAAAGAACGAACAAGAGAACGTCTATCCAATTGCATTTGGGTGCTATCGATCTGAGGGTCATACTATCATCTGTTAAGTATTTGATTGAGAAAAAGGCGCAACTTTGAGCTGCAACCACCTTTTAAAGTCGTTATGAGGAGGCGCTGTTTAGAGAGCGTAGCTCAACTGCCAAGACAGGTGGGTGTAAACTGTATCCCAAAATCCGCAAAGACCACTTTGTCACAAGCTTGCGAATGACGGTGGGTCGCATGCTCGATGAGGTTTGAACTTATTCGTAGCTGTGTAGTTTGCTCAGCTTGTTCGTCGGAGACTGGCTTTTACCTTGCGACACCAATCTTCTGGCACCAGAGTATGCCCATTATGTGCCCCAGTCGGTCTTCCGAACCAAGGTTACCAATTGCTTGCGCTTTTCACATGCATATGCACGTACATTATGTCGGTGCTGTGCCCCAAAACTTACACTTACACCCTACTGGGAAGCGACAACGCTGTGCTTATGGGACCCTTATCACGATACTTGTTTCAAATACCGAGTAATCCTTTTCCTCTTCACTCCCATGCACTCCGTTCAAATCACACATGAATTTGGTTTTCCGAGGTCATTACTGTTTAGCGAAGATGAACAATATACTGCATTTCTCGGTAACGCCGAATTTCATCTCGTGCTTATCTATCGACCCACGATTCAGTGCAATGTTATTCTCAGTTTGAGCCCGTTCTCTCCACAGCCAACTTATATTGATTTCTTTCACGTTTGAATGGAGTTCACGGTGTTTTGTTCCATTCTTCCCGAGTTGTGTTTTCGACTCAGTGGGCTACTCGAATGTCAGACTGGAATACCCACCCATCCCGTACGCACGATTCTTGACTGAGCTATTCTGCTGTCCGGTTGGTAGGCAAGGGAACACATTGTTAAGTTTGTTCCATACGTCGTTGTCATTTATCCTCTCTGCGATAGGACAATTTAACGCCCCAAATCCTCAAAGTTTCTCTCATTTTTGTCTTAGTATTTTAGCTATACATGAACTAAGGCACTTGTAATTGGGATGAAAGAAGTTTGAGGCTGCAAGATTATTGGAATTTTTTTGTCGTTAAGTTGGAAACAAGAAATTCCCACGATAGGTTACTAAACTATCTGGGGAAAATCCTCATAAAGCCTCCCATGGTAAATATCGGAATTAGGCAAACGTTTCAAAAAACACATTTCTTAAGGGGGTGCCTTGAGTGTGTTCTCTTTCTTTCGGGTCCCCGCTATGAGCTGGCCAATTGGAGTTGGTAGCAGAAGCCAGAGCAGTCTCCATGACCCAGCTCACATTCTTAGATTATGTTACTAGAGGATCATGTCTCTGGACCGTCCATTTTAAACCTAATACATTTCCCCGCGTTTTCTCAGTGAGTAAAAAGTTTATTCTCTTTATTTGTCGCTTTTGTGGCTATACCTACCTAATGAGCAGCATTCCCCAATCCTAGCCAGCACTACCAACTTTCAGGGGCACGAGTACAGACATTCCCATCAATACGGCTATCTCGACCATCGACGCAATTTCTCCATATATATATATATATATATATATATATATAGTGGGCCGCCTATAGAAAACCCTGTTGATAATATGCACATCAAACGTGGTGCTACTAAAACAATAACTTCCAGGCGTTGCATCCCACAGTTATCTAATCTATACTACACCAGAATAATCGCAGTCACACCCTGTGGAACCGGGGAAGGTTCAGCATAACTAATCCACCTCGAACCAATGAACATTTGGATTATTCACTGTTACCATGGAGAGAATCACTCATGATGCGATTTCCACATGATGCGTTGTGATAACAGTGGACATTCCATTCTGACTGAATGTTGGGTGCCGCGATTTGTGGCACTCGCCCATTGCGTTTGAAGCTGTAATAAATGCAACACCCCTTACTGCGCTTCGGTTTTGTTTAAAAGGAACGCCGAAATTTGCAATAAAAGAAATGTTTGTATTAGATTCACGCAAAATATACCGTCAATTAATATCACCTTCTCAGTGATGCCATACTCTTCCCTCTTTTATATTCTTATTTGAGTAGTTTCATTCCTTGGATGGAGGAAACCCGTTACGAAACTCATGACTTCATTGTGAAGTTTCGCGCATTTCAACTCCTTGTCTTTTCACATACAGGCGCTGCCGAAAAGTCCACCAAACAAGGTGCGGACGACAAAGCCCAAGCAATCATTCAAGCTATGACCGCGCTGATGCGTCAGCGGACTAATGAATGCCCTGATCTGTTCGACCTCGTCGGTAAAGTGTTCAAAGTGGACGAAAAGACCCACGAACGGAACTTGGCGCAAGCACAACAGAGCATTTTGGATGGAACCAGTAAATGGTCAGCGAAAATTGCGATAACAGGTAAAGTTTTCTGGATGAACCTAAATGGGAAGAAGCTGATTTCATGCTCCCGCCTCTTTCGGCCTCTTTCACACGAGGGTCTCCCCAACCTTTTTTAATTTGTAGAATATATATCGTTGATGGGACTTTATTCGTCATTGGACTTGGATTAGGAATGCTGTTTAGTGTTTGATGGAACTTTAGTATACCACAGAAACTTTACGCCGTTTTCCCTTGGGGTTGCGTTTCCATCCTACCCTGTTGATAATATGCACATCAAACGTGGTGCTACTAAAACAACAACTTCCAGGCGTTGCATCCCACAGTTATCTAATCTATACTACACCAGAATAATCGCAGTCACACCCTGTGGGACCGGGGAAGGTTCAGCATAACTAATCCACCTCGAACCAATGAACATTTGGATTATTCACTGTTACCATGGAGAGAATCACTCATGATGCGATTTCCACATGATGCGTTGTGATAACAGTGGACATTCCATTCTGACTGAATGTTGGGTGCCGCGATTTGTGGCACTCGCCCATTGCGTTTGAAGCTGTAATAAATGCAACACCCCTTACTGCGCTTCGGTTTTGTTTAAAAGGAACGCCGAAATTTGCAATAAAAGAAATGTTTGTATTAGATTCACGCAAAATATACCGTCAATTAATATCACCTTCTCAGTGATGCCATACTCTTCCCTATTTTATATTCTTATTTGAGTAGTTTCATTCCTTGGATGGAGGAAACCCGTTACGAAACTCATGACTTCATTGTGAAGTTTCGCGCATTTCAACTCCTTGTCTTTTCACATACAGGCGCTGCCGAAAAGTCCACCAAACAAGGTGCGGACGACAAAGCCCAAGCAATCATTCAAGCTATGACCGCGCTGATGCGTCAGCGGACTAATGAATGCCCTGATCTGTTCGACCTCGTCGGTAAAGTGTTCAAAGTGGACGAAAAGACCCACGAACGGAACTTGGCGCAAGCACAACAGAGCATTTTGGATGGAACCAGTAAATGGTCAGCGAAAATTGCGATAACAGGTAAAGTTTTCTGGATGAACCTAAATGGGAAGAAGCTGATTTCATGCTCCCGCCTCTTTCGGCCTCTTTCACACGAGGGTCTCCCCAACCTTTTTTAATTTGTAGAATATATATCGTTGATGGGACTTTATTCGTCATTGGACTTGGATTAGGAATGCTGTTTAGTGTTTGATGGAACTTTAGTATACCACAGAAACTTTACGCCGTTTTCCCTTGGGGTTGCGTTTCCATCCTCTTACAGTGTTAATTTCAGTTCTCTGTTCTTCTCTTTCTTAATCTAACAGTCAAATGTGCGCAGGGTTTGATCGGAAAGGACAAAACCGGTACCAGCGACCCGTACGTCACAGTTCAGGTGGGCAAAGTCAAGAAAAGAACCAAGACGGTGCCACAGGAGTTGAACCCAGTGTGGAATGAAAAATTCTGTTTGTGAGTACAATTTACCAGCCGCGACAGCCTGCTTCTCACTATTTTGCTATGTTTGTCTCCGATCTTGATCTTTTTCCCCATCAGGAAAACCCACTTTCTTTGAAACTATTTGAGCATAGCAGATGTTCATCCAATCAGCCTGTTGAGGCCAGGAGAATGGAGTTTCCACTTTTTTCTTTTCTGATATCACAAATTGCACCCTCAACGAAATTCCTCGCTACTTAATTCTAGAATACTCTCTACCTTCACCGATCCAACGCTCAAAGGGCTGGGTTGAACACTTACGCCCTACAGTTCATGCAAACACACCAATGGTTCAGTAATGAGCTGCTCAATATGGTTAATGGTTTTCATGGTCACTCTGAATGCAAGGCCACGGTATGAAATTGTGAGGTACGGTGTAGCATAACGTTGTATACAACGGAATGTTAAAGTTAATTGGAAAGTAGAGTAGAGCGGTGTAAGATACAGAATAGTTTTGTGTACTTTAGCACGGCGTTGTACATTACAGTATAGCCTGGTAATCGGATCACTCTGTCTGAGTAGAGCGCCTCGAAAGTTCGTGCTTCCATCGTTCTCTACTCAACGACGATGTTCGCTACTTATGGGAAAAACGGTGATGAAAACTTTGTTCTACAATGGTTGTCATTCTCAGGCGGTGCTCTTGGAGGTGCAACTCGTGAAGGTTTCGTTGAATGAGATATTTTTAGGGTCAAGTTGTCAACAGTACTCATGAGTACTCTCTGGCTTTCTCTCAAATGCCTGTCACAGTTTTCCTTAGCTATCACTGATAATTTGCTAACTACCTCATCTCCTCACAGCGAATGCCACAATGCTTCGGATCGCATCAAAATTCGTGTCTGGTAAGTTCGGTTTCTGACGCAAAATGGTATTCTTTGTTGGTGATGTTGGGAGATTTAGGGTATGGAACGCGAGAACTCCTGGATTTGAGACTCTGGAGTTTTATGGGATGTGCACTAATGATTATTCCCAATAAGGATAAAACGGCTGTACAGTGCCTCTGGGCTTTTCATCCTAGATTGTCTTCACATACAAGACGAACTCCATTAAAATAGCGTTCTTTCTCGTGACTCTCGAGCTCGGTTCATCCGTTCTTGAAATCGTTTTTTCTCGCTTGAGTACGCTATCTGAACTGTTCTAATCCCGGTGTGAGTACTGTTTTTCATCGTATAGTCTTGTCACTCTAATGCACATTATTGTGCACACCTATTGTGCTTCAAGCTCATCGTGTGCCTCTGTTTTCGGTTGACTTCCACACTCACTTTCTATAGTTATTTTACGATATAACTAGAAGCCATGGTTCCCAAATACTCTCTTTGCAATTGAGATAGGGGTCAAGTTTCTGAAGTGTATACCTCGGTAGTTTGATGAAATCCAAGTGTGTCCTAGTGATGGCACCTCGTGTTTGTATGTCATGCTACTACAACGAGTGGTTTCGATTTGTTATATTCATGAAAGGAGAGATCTTGAGTTGTTGGCGACCAATATCCCATAACCGTTACCTTTATGTCAGTTGGAGGTGGTTGGAAAACGAAATGTTGATAACTTAGTTCACCCGCTACTCAGGGGAGTGTCTTGAGCAAAGGTTTGGGCCGGATTCCTGACGGAACGCAGTCACAAAACGGTACATGATGGGATACGCCTGCTCATGCCTACTCCTTGCAGGGGGTGCCCCTAGAGGGCTCCCAACCGCAATAAGTGTTCTCATCTAACCTACCCGTTTGGACTTAATGACCGTGTGATTGTTTTGTCCCCTCTATTGACACATTCATTCCCCCTACTCGTTACCTCACCAAGGGATGAGGACTACGATCTGAAATCCAAAATCCGTCAGAAGCTTACCCGAGAATCGGACGATTTTCTCGGTCAAACTATCATTGAAGTGCGGACACTGAGCGGTGAAATGGACGTTTGGTATAATCTAGGTGGGCATTGCTCGACTCCCAATCATCTGGCTTGTGGCTTTCTGGGATACTTTTATGTTGTTTTTCTGACGGCCCCACACTTGCATGTTCTTTCTGTCTAACGTCGTCCTTGTGAGAGGAGGTGCGAGAATAAGAAATACCATCAGACTGTCGTCAACTTCATCATCTCCTACTGTGACTAACTTTCCTAGTATATGAAATTGAGTTCGGTGATTTCTTGTTTGATCCACAAACGAGTAGTTGCAATTGACGTGGATTCCTCCTTTCCTTTTTTCTATTTTTTGATCACGCCTCCTAAAATTTCATGCATATGCACAATTGCACGAAAATGATACATTGAATGCACCCGGTGAATTCGGTTTCCTCATGCGGTCCTACCCGGACCTCTACCAACATCGGGGCTTTAATAGGGACGAAGCTAACGAATTACGCGCCAAAGTGCGCTCGAAATTCACCTCGGAATCGGATGATTTTCTCGGTCAAACAATAGTCGAGCTTCGTACATTATCAGGCGAAACGGATGTTTGGTATAACTTGGGTGGGTGATGCCGAATTAATTGAAGTGACTAGTCAGGATAGCGTCGCACATTTGACCATTGAGGGCGAATGAATGGTCGGTCAATAGGCTGCTTCTGACACCAAACGGTTGGGTATTCTGCGCCAAGTTTAAGTCTTGTAGTGCAGGATAGTTAAAGTTGAGCACATTTCAACTTTTATTCCATCTCATCGCCATCCCGGACGCTATAGTCCCGTAGCAAACCGCGGCAGAGCGTGGTCGGGGACCAGTACTTCGGTTTCTATTAATTTTTCAAGTAAGCGATCGATGGAGTTGAACTTCAGTTTCCTACCTACTACTGTTACATGCTTCACTCTCAGCCAGGGCCTTTAGACGAATACACCAAGCTGTGCCAGCTCCTTGCTGCTTAGCAGAAGGTACTTTGTTAATACCTTTATTTGATAGGTCAGATCACTGGAGGTCGATCGCAGTGCGACGGTAACAACCTCCCATACATTCAGAATCTCGGGTTAATGAACTTAGAACTGGAGGTAGTGTACCTTTTCCTCACCTGTTTTGTCGTTTTGCTGGTGAATCTCAATGAAGAGTAATGTTGTAGATTATTAGGAGCACCACTACTCCAGCATCTTTCGACTCCTCTCACGTTGTCGTATTAAATGGTCGTTATTGATCGTTGACCTTGTGTCGTTATAGTCCATTGACGTCGTTGTTGTCTATCTCATCTACCGCTACCCCCCCCCCTACATGCCGTGAAACGCCCCATTGATACACTCTCTCTTGTCCTGACAGAAAAGCGCACGGACAAAAGTGCCGTTTCCGGCGCCATTCGTCTCTTCATTTCTGTGGAAATAAAGGGTGAAGAGAAGGTGGCTCCCTACCACGTTCAGTACACCTGTTTGCATGAGGTAAGTTCATACCTCGACCTTACCCCCAGCATCCATCCTGTTGTCAAGTTTCAGTCCTACAGAGATCAGGAAGATTCTTTTAGTTTGCTACATTATTCATTTTTGTTACGAAATCACCCCCTACCCCCCCCCCCCTACATGCCGTGAAACGCCCCATTGATACACTCTCTCTTGTCCTGACAGAAAAGCGCACGGACAAAAGTGCCGTTTCCGGCGCCATTCGTCTCTTCATTTCTGTGGAAATAAAGGGTGAAGAGAAGGTGGCTCCCTACCACGTTCAGTACACCTGTTTGCATGAGGTAAGTTCATACCTCGACCTTACCCCCAGCATCCATCCTGTTGTCAAGTTTCAGTCCTACAGAGATCAGGAAGATTCTTTTAGTTTGCTACATTATTCATTTTTGTTACGAAATCACTGTTCGCTTTAATTCGACCTTATTACAGCTGCAGCCTTCCCCGAATTCGCACATCACGCTCAAAATCGGTATCTACTACGAGAGTTTCTCCCCAATGAAAAGTAATGCTTCGCTTGACCTTCAGAGTGTTAAAGTCCAGAAGCATAGAAAAGGTAGCAATCGGAAATCTTCCTGAAGATTCCGACTTGTTTGAGTATGTTACAGCAGAACTACCATGGCCTTCCAAGTGAACTATTTTCGCATAAGTTGGATGCGTCCTCAGTTCCACTGTATTTCTTCATATCTCCACACAGAACATATTTCACTATCTCTGTGAAACGAACAAAAGCAAAGGAGAAGTAGAGGTCAAAATTCCGGACGCTACCGGGGTAAGCCTTATTCGGTTCACTTAAAATTCGGTGCTGTTATGTCCAGGTTGATTTTTTACTGCGCTTTCTCTCTTTATCTCGCCGTACTCTGTTACGCCGTTTTCAATAGCGCATGAAGTATTCTGTAAAAGACTTGTAGGCTTTCTTGGCGTTGTTCACTTTGTTTGCTGGTCCTCAGTTCTTATCCTTATCCCCTACTCCGTTTATCAATATTGTACTGGCTCGTTTGGATACTATCCGGCAGTAAACTGTTTTGCATGGACGAGAACCCATGACCAGCTGCTTCCGCACAACCGTATGTTCATCTAATCAAGACAAGTTCGTCCTTACTTGCACGAATTTACACAGGTCTTGTTGTCCTGCCATAATTAGCGGCACCGCACTGCCAGGTTGTCAACAGGTCGAACTTGAGCACTAGTCCTCTTCCCTCTTCCCCTTTAACTCAGTTCGGCCCTCTGTTAAAATAATATCCTTTGGAATTGTGCTAGGCGATTTGCAGACAAATCAAACCTCGCCAGTAAGGGACGCAGAGGTAGAGCGCATCGTTTTCATACTATGCTTAGTCATTCAACCTCGTTATGCACAATTCACCACCACTACCGCCCTTCATATGATCCACCTGGTTTTTACCACTTCGCCTAATTATCGGATGTCTGTGGACGAGAACTTCTTTCCAAGGGGCTTACTGAATCGGACCAATACTCGACTGTCTTTGTCCAGATTTTAAAAAAAAGTTTTCAAGTACTATCGAAACTCCCGTGATAACTTCAGAGAGCTTTCGGGAAATGTCCCTTTCAAGAAGAGGAGTACTATTCAGGGTTACTTCTATAATCCACATTGTACTTTTTACCGACACACAAGGACAGTTCCATTTGACAATAACTTGAGGTATTTGCCCCTACACTACTTCTAGGGCCTATAAAACCCCTTGGTTAACTCACCACCGATTTTGTCCTTTTCAAGGTTCGTCAAGTGGCTCAGTCTCCGAATTTCCATTTATCTTATCTTTTAGTTGAATACCAGGTTCCAAGGGTCTTTCCATATTTCCGTTGTTTCTTGAAGTGGCAAATTAGGCTACACTATTCATTTCACATCCTACATTCGCATCTGGATGATTGGATCCATGCTACGGTTCTTTTTATGAACTTCACTACCTTGTCCTGACCTTTTCGTACTAACATGTGCTTGCCTTCTCCTTCCGTCACAGGATGAAAGCTGGAAAGTGTACTTCGACCAACCTGCACAGGAAATAGTGACGGAATTCGCTATCCGCTACGGAATCGAGTCTATCTATGAGGCAATGACGTGAGTTGCTCGCTTTCTGACTTTTCGCTCACTTTGGGAGCCTTGTTTTCTATGTGAGGTTTTTTCTGTCTCGGATGCCACTTATTGATCCATACTATTTACGAATCGAGCTTGACACTTGGGTAAGGTTTCAAGCTTCCTGACAAACAATCTGGAAGTTTGCTGTGTTGCTGTCCCGTTACATTAGAACAACGTGCTCAAAATTACTGAAGGTTGAAACGGTCACTGTCATCAGCCACTTAGAGGCGGAATAGACAAAGAATGGTATATATCAAAATGTATCAGGACGTTGCATTTGCATGTTTCTTCTAGACGCATTTCCATCCAATCGATGGAATACAGCTTCTTGCAAGTGACAGCCTTTTTAAACCTGATTCCTCTTGGCATACGCTGAAGTGACTCAGCTGTTATTGTCTCATGTGTATATCCATTCCGTTTTGTCTGATGTGATTTACAGGCTGGTACGACCATTCAAATGTGCAACGTATCCTCTTGCCTGGGCGCTGATATTCGACCCTGTCCCTCGAATACAGTTCCCTGTTTATGCGGAAGCCTTTTTTCGGTGTTTAACGTGGCATTAGTTTTTTTATCTGGAATTAGTTTTCCTGTCTGGAGTACTGCGGTCCTCTCGCCCTCTCTCAAGTCGAGTAGGCCATCCATGTTACTGACACCCTTTCGAGTGAGCAATCCTCATGGCCGTCCTGATTTCCTGTCAACGTTATGTCACATTCGCTTCACTTCTAGTATTTCGCTCTTCTCAACCGTCGTTCGCGTGCGTCCAACCGCTGAAATATTGATCCTCTGCTATCTTCACATACATCATTCCTCTGTCCCCCTCCCCGTTTCCACCCTGTCAATCTGCTCATCAGGCACTTCTCCTGTCTCACCACTAAATACATGTGTACCGGTGTCCCAGCGACCATGTCCAGCCTTCTGGCCAACATTAACGCCTTCTACGCTCACACGTCCGCGTCCAGCAACCAGACCGCTTCAGAACGCTTCAGTGCGAGTAATTTTGGGGTAAGCGCTTCCCCTTTTATCTCAGTGCGACTGGTCGACGGATGGGAAAAATCGTGCATCCATTCATCACACCAGGCTATAGCGTTTCCTAACACAAAACACACTGTTTATGCTCCTTGAAGTTACCAGTATGGCGTAATTCGGAGTGATTGTTTTTGCCATACGTACAGCACGTACAGCAAAACGGCAGATTTTGCTCCATCAAAGAAAAATTGATTCCCCTTTCCCTCGAATGAATACCTTCGATGTGTTCAGAGAGACAGAGGGCAACTTTTTGCCCAGCGTTAATGGATTTTCAGCGCCAGTCAGGAAGTTTAGACAACTCTGCTTTGCGTAATTTAGCAGTTAAGTTTTTTTTGCATTCCTTCACCAGTTCATCGAATGCCCTGCTTAATTTTTACGGTTTGGCGGAGCACATGTGGACAGTGATGTACGTAGAAAATGCCCTCTTCAGTGACTACGTGGTCTCTAGATTTGCAAGATTGTTTACAGTATACGATCCCTTAATGAAATTTGTTTGTATCGCTGGTCCTCTCCTCCTCAAATTACATGAAATAAGGCCTATTTTTTCATGATTTGTGACGCTGGTTGCATTTTTAAACTATTTGTTTTTTAATCGTTTCGGGATGTTTCCAATAGAATTTCTCGCCTCTGGGGCCTACTACTCGCCACAAATTGTTTAAGCTGTAGGCAACTTCAAACCTGAGTGTACGCTATAGATAGTGATGAATTTAGTTGTCAACTTACCAGATTTCACTGTCCCAAATGTCAGTGTGTTTGAGAAATTTGGTTTTCGTGTCTTTCAAATAGCTTCTCAGAGCAAACGAGATAGGTTTTTTTTTCTAATTTCGCCCGGAGTTCTGTAACTGACACTTGATATCTGTACACATCTATAATGAGACAAACAAGTACGACGCGGTGAATCTGTGTACAAGTTCATCACCGGTTATAAATACTGGTGTTTAACTGCCACACGACAATGACGAGTGAATGCCTTAGTGAAGAGTGTACAGAAAAAGGAAGGCGAAAAGTTTTTTGTTCTTGAGGGAAAAATGATTTCAACACCCCCCCAAGATAAGCACATCTGAACACCGGGTTAGTGTACGACTCAATCAGCGGGACTAATCAGCGAGAACGGCAAACAATGTTTGAGCATTCGTAACACATGGCCAAGCAGTTGATAGTACTGGATGCTTTCACCGGTCGAAATATCTGCTGTACAACCAAATACCCGTTCTCTAATTACCTCGTTACGAATTTGTTCGCCTTATCCGAGGCATCAGCGCTCAAAAACCTGAAGACGCCTCTTATCATTTGTCCTTTGAGTGTATGTCTCGCATTTGCACAACAACACAGTCCTTACTGTAGTTTGGTACTAGCAACCTCTCTGACCCCGTCGTGTTGCTTCTTGATGCCACAAATGACGCAAATTAGCAAACTTGATTCTGGCCATTGTGGTTCGTGCACTGACTTCATCAGACACTTCCGTCAGAGCGAAAGGTATGTAAAATTCTACACAACCTCCAGTGATTCTCCTTGAATTGTAAGGGGTGTGTTCAGAAACTGTACGTTCTGAAGCATGACTGTGCACTTTGAAAGGTGCAAGACGCTTACCGGTGGTGATCCGTTTATTCAACATAGCTTGTGCTTTGTCCTAATTAAGTTTAACTGCTGACATGTCTTCATTATCTATCGGATGTTGCTCCCGTTCATGATGGACAGTATCTTTTACCTCAAATCACATCAGGATAGGTTTAACCTAGACTTTTCTATCCGTTACCCCACAAACGAACACTTTTAATGGATAAGACGTACGATCTGTGCTGTACGCTTGGACAAGCCAAGCTGTTTTCTATGCCTTTTATACCCGCGCTGAATTCCAAGCAATTAGAGCAGTCTCATGTTACTAAAGGCAGGACAGTACACTGCTTCGTAACCTTGCTACAAATGAAAGTTAAAACAATGAAGAGGAAGGATAATACAGATTTGAATAGATAATCATGGGTGACATCGGTCAAAACGTTTGCGTCCAGTGTTTGGATCACGTCCAGTTATTTTCATATGAGAAAAAATTGTTCTGGTATGGTAGGACGCCAATTCTAGATACCTTGAGAATAGTCCGAGTCTGGGTGAATAGGAGAACTGCCTTCTTAGATTATAAAGTAAATGTTTCGGATAGTTGATTCGATCGAACTGCGGCTGTGTAAGTCATTAGGGTCAGTTGTTTATCACTGTCAGGATATGTAGATTCCTCAGATGAGAATCGTGGTGTTTTTGAGGATCAAACGCAACCTCAAGACATTGGTTTGTAGAAAACGAGACTTGGTGCTGTTTTGGACGAGGAGAACCGATTCAATCAGTACAACTGTGACAGCATTTTTAGCCTTGTGGTTACTGTAGGGAGAACTCCTTTTTAAGGAAAAGTTTATGGGGATATATATATATATATATACCAAGTGCATCTGCTTGACCGATCGGAATGACCTTCAAAAACACCAGGCGAAGCCTATAAAAACTATTTTCTCCCGAAAAACGGTAACATAAATTGAACACGCCATTACTCAGTGGTCTCGTGAACATGCGCACATGAATGTATGCATAATCCCGTCAAACTTTGAATTGTCAGGCTTGCGCCTTTAAACTGAATGACTGCAGGATCTGAGCGAACCATGTTCAACTAATAATGTATCTACCAGCTGCTTCAAAAATAAATGAGACAGAGACGTCTCTCAGAAATAACAGTTTTGGTTGCCAAATGAATCTTCCTTGGAAGGGGCCACTTGTGACTAGCCTCTTCAGATAACGCCTGCGTAGGGTTAGCTAGAAAACCGAGATTACTTGGAACGTAAGTATAACCTAATCTCGCAACCAGTGGCGCTCGTGCATCAAAGCCATTGCTTTCAATACGTAGCAGCCCAGTTTCCCGTCCCCTCGGAGCAATATATAATGCAAACTAAGTGACACTGCCATCCCTCCAATTCTTGGTTGCATCCCTCACGTTCCCGTTTTCCGGTGACCAAAA